AAAAAAATGTGTTATGCACAGTGTAGCTGTCAGCTAGTGTACTTACCAGATATGCTTGCGCTTTTTACTTGCACAATCAGCGAAAAGTGCAATTCTATATATTGACAAAGGCAATTGCTTTACTGATAAAGGGAAAATACTTGGTAGAAGTGGCGATATGAAATGAAGTCTACTATCAAATGTAATATGAAACACTAATTGCAAAGCTGCCTTCTATATCTGCGTTGCGCCTTTAAAGGAGTTATAGACTTTTCTTTTTCTATCAAATCACCTACAGAACCGATATGGCTTTCGTAATCAATATACTTGATCACCTCAATGTTGCATTAAAGCAATTTTCAAGCTTTTTTTGAAAAAAGTTGCTCATTGTATTTTTTTCGACTCTAATCGTTCAATTGTAATCTAACAAAGCCGAAATCACTGCATTAAGTACATACTTTTAGAGGAAAACACCTTCTTTCAAACGATGCATAATGTACTGCCATAACTTCCAATTTTTGAAAATTTTTCGAGAAGAAAAACAATGGCACAAACTTGTTCAACAAACTTTTATGGAACTCAGGTCGAGTATACGATTCTCAGCAATAGTGAGGGAAGACATTAGAAAATTTTGTGAAAACGAACTACAGAAAAATAAACCTCGTCGTAAAAGCCCCACAAAAGAGGTTCATCTCAACCAGGCATACCACTTGCTAATACGATTTTGTCAAAAACTGATTGAAAGCAAAATTCCTAATAATGCATGAGGCGGACTGATTTCTCAAAAAGTCCATGGATTTACATTTCTTAGTAGTTATGATAGGTAACTTCTCTTGGGGTATAATGAGTAATAACGTTGCGACACCTTTGTGCAATATACTTAAAGCGTGATGTTCCATCAGAAAATAGCAGCTCAGCAGCTTTCTAAGAGCACTGACAAAGTAAATATAGATTCTAGGTTGCAGGATTCGTCTAAGCTTTCAAAAACATTTTTATGATGTATTTGATCCTTAAGCACTCCTTCCTTCTCAAAAGCCTATTTTTCTACAGACCAATGCTTTAAAACTAGTGTAAGCATTTGTTTCCAAGTTGTCTTTTTGCTCGCACCTTTTTCCCGCTTAAACAAAATAGAGGCCAGCACAGAGAAAACTTGCGAAAGTAAGTAACGATCATGGCAAAGCGAGACAATTGATAAATTACCCTAAAGAAAAATGTAAACTGGTATATACAATAAAAAACTTCGAGTATATAAGAAAGAATGCTAACAGTTAAAGCCATCACTCAATTTGGTCGTACAAATGAGCAGCATATGAGCTGCGTGCAAACTGCAAAACAACTCCAAACTTCAAAAACGGTGCGTGTTACGTTTTTTTTATCATAATACAAGAAATTTCTAGCAGGTATCCTACCATTAATCCGTACTAACCACTCGCCAGTTGCAAATTATATTTCATCATAGATTGAAAATGAATTCATAATAAAACTAAGAGTTTCAAAACTCTCTTTTGGCGCAGTTATACCTAGGTGTTACGATTCCAAAAAAACCATTTCAGAGGTGTAGTTTAGGAAACTTTCAGTATAGCCAAAAAATCACTACCAGAAACTCTATGGCAATTTTTGTCTATAACAAGTAAGTAGAGCGTTGTAGCGAACTAATTGAAAACCTTCAGATTTTTGCTTATGCATTCATCACTCTCGATCAACGTAATATCGCTGCAACATTTTAAACCGCTGTATTTTGAATCAAAAGAGGATGAAGAAACTGACAAGGAAACCCGTAAAAACAAATGAGATAGGGAGTACTTTGATGTCTCGAGCAGTATAAATGGGAAAATAGTTTGATCAGTTATGATATCTTCATTCATGTTTCTCACTTTGTTATTATTATGAATTGCATTAGTATCATAAATACTGAGAAAAAGGTAGTACTTTGGAAGCACTTCTGGCGTAGATTCAACGCTCGTCGCGTCATCACCACGGCATTCCCGTCTCATAAACGTGAAGTGAGCTATGATAGCATAGTGTGCTCTGCTGGTACTTTTGTAAATTTGCGCACTTCACATCTGTGGTGTAACGTTTCTTGCGGTATTTGTGTGACCGAGTGCTTATTGCAAAGAGCATTTCTTAGTGCGGGCCCATCTTCAATCTCGACACCTTCCCACTTTCAAATACAAAAGAATAGATAAGCATCAATCTATGTTTGCCTTGAGGGTAATCTAACTCCATACTACTTTATAATTAACTGGAGATCTAAAAGAAAGGCGCATCGCTAAGTAACCTTGTGTGGAAGGGTGCGTTAGAGTGCTGCACATCTATCTTAGACTTGAAAAAAATTGTAGGCTTCCGACCTTTTTTTGACCCCGTTTTTGCTTAATACGTTTTACTGCTTAACTATCATTGTGTCTCTGAGACTTGATCTTGGTTCTATAATCCGTGCCTGACCTTTAGTTTGATTACGCACATTGAGATAATGATTACTCAAACGTGGTCAAAGTGAGTTGCGACCTAGACTCTCTTCTCATTGCACTGACCCTGTTTGTGTAAAGAATATTAAGATTTCGAATTCTTGACAGATATTTGAAAAACACTTTAGAAGCTTTTGTTCCTTTTATCCTTTTTGAAAGCTATTATCTTTTACTTTTCTATGCAAATCAACATCCGGCTGAAGCTTTTCCAGAGAATGTTGCTTATGCTAGCAATTTGTGTACTCGCCAATACTGTTCTTGCACAAGTGGAAGGAACGGTAAATCGTATTCTTAGTAAAAAAAATCTAACAAATGAAGACTTTTAAAAAATTTTGCTTGAGGTCTTTAGATATTCAAGAGGCATAAGTACATCAACCCTTACTGAAGTTACCTTATTAAATTGCAGGAAGGGACTAGGCTGACTATGGCCAAACTCTTGTTCGACCCATCTTTAACAGACTCGCAAACGACCGAAATGATCCAAGGAATTCTAGCACCTGGTAGATTACAAGTGAGAACAAATTTATTTTTAGTTGAGCTTTCGAATTGAGAAACTGTTCAGAACGAGAAGGCAGCGCTCAGTTTTCTAGACTCCCACGGTGAAACAAAAACTGCTAGTTCAAAGGTGAGCTCGTTAATGTTTATGGATTATCAGCAATTATATGTGAATACTAGCTTACATACCCGACTACGCTCGGCTGTTTCAGAGTAGTCAATAGTACTTTGTTTTATAATTTTTTTCTGAAGGAGTACATTAGTTTGTAAGATTTCCAGCATAAAAATGCTCTCTTAGCAATCATAGGTTGAAAAAAATGACACTGTTCAGCATGTAGCACACTTTTGCATTTGTTGGTAGCGGCCAGTATTTCAAAGCGAAAAACCGCCGAATTAATGAAATAATTTTATAGGGCTTCAAGTTATTATCAAATTCGTAATCAGCATATTGATTTACCCCAGTACGTCAACTCTCAGCTCCTCAAAACAAAGGGTGCGAAAAATCAATAAATCAATAGGATCGATCGATAAATTTCCAAGAGGATATCAGATTCGTAATTGGCATATCAAGTTACCTCAGTACACCAACCCCCAGCGCCTTCGACC